CTGGCATCCTGAATGTGACATTCAGCACAAAATCCCAGAAAGTGATAGCCTCTGACCCTTGGAAAGTGGTGATGTGGAAGTGCATCACACGTGGCTATGAGAGGTATGAGCCCACATCACTTGTGTGTGGTACAAGCCCTGCAGGCCTCATCTATAGCAGTGCAAGCAAAGCAAGGTCTTCTGGAGGGAAGAGCATGCTCTTGACGTGGCTCTCAGCTGTGTCCTCTTGCTAACAACAGGGTGTCTCAGGTCCTGCAACCTGAAAGGAAGCTCCTCAGGGATGAGTGGTCCTCTGGGAGGTGACTGCAGCTGGAGCCCTCCTTTCAAGGGCATCACTGGCACTCCACTGGTGACTTGAGGTGCACTGTGCAAAGCCATGCTGAAATGGGCAAAGTGGCCGGGAGATGTCTCCCCACTGCCCATGCATGGTGAGCAGGAGGTATGAAGCCTCTGAGGAACTCATCAGGGAACGCAGAGGTTGTAGTGGGAAAAAGCAGTGCTGCTCTCAACAAGTATGGGCAATTCTCAACAACACAAGAGGGCACAAAATTGAAGTCTTGGCTCAGCAAAGCTTTGAACTGTATGTGTGCTGAAATGAAGTGATGCAGTGGAGCAGCAAGGGAGTAGCAAACACCAGTACCGGCAGCTGTCTTGCCACACAAATAAAAAATTACTATGGTATATTTATCCCTACTTGTTAGACATTGAAGAACTGTGGCCTGGAAAAAGTTAGCAGCAACAATATTGCTGCCTGGACTTTCTTGTTTCCTTGGTACCTTTTACCGGATACCCCTCTTTAAGTCCCGAATTTCCTGCAGCTGCAACAGGACCCTTCAGGGAAAGGAGAAGAAGTTTAATATCTAAGTCACAATTATACCTCTTTATACACATAGTGGAGTCCTAAGGATGCACAAAATCTGCCAAGGTTGTTCATTCACTAGCTGCCTGGGAGGGTGCCAGCTAAAATTCTCCTCAGTAACAGATGAGATGCAGAGACCTGCACTGCCCTGTCTACATGAACGTTCTACAGAGCCTGGAGCTTTCCCCAGGAGCACGTTGCCTGACGCAGAGCTGTGGGTCTGAGGAGCCCCAGACACATCTTCCCTGTGTGCAAAATGGAGGTGACACAACCACATGGGGCTGCAGAGTCTCAGCAGCTCTTGCTGCTTTGCAGGGAGGCCTCCTTCAGCACCAGGGCTGCAGCTTGCCCACCCAGGCACACCTTTGCTCTCTCATTTGAAGATTACCCCACTGTTGCCACGTTCCACTGGTATCCTGCAGCAAAGTGGATACAGACATGGTCCCCCATAGCCTCCCAGCCACCCTCATGGAGGATGCTGGTGCTTTTCCCTCCTGTCCCAGGGACCTCTCCACCCTGCCAGCTCCAAACAAGTGTCCCACCCTCAGGCTGCAACCTGGGTGATTAGCCAGGTGTGGCTGCAGCACTTGTAAAAAACACAGGGTTGTCCCTGTTATCATCTGCACCTCGTGATACCAGGTTGCCTCAAGTCCTCCGCCAGCGCTGGGGACTTTCTACAGTGAGCACAGTGAAACGCACTGCCACGCAACGGCATCTCAGAAACCACCCTGGGGAGTGGTCCCTGGAGGAGCTGCCTGGCACTGAGCAGATGGTGCTCTGTAATCAAGGAGAGGGTTTGAGAGCTTGTTCATGAGTTTCTTGTGGCTTTTATTTCTGAACTGCAGTGGTTCATAAACACCCTCCAGTGGAAGAGCTGCCTGCCACATGGAAATACAGAATGGCAAGGCTCCCAAATGTCACTGGAGTGTGCTGCAGCATCTTCCGCTTCTGGGTTATGTATGTAGCTTCTCGTGGCTTTTAAACAAAAGACCTGAATGTCTTTAACAGGATGTTGCGCATGCAATAGCCTGGAAATGTTAAATACTCAAGTGACTAAAATCATAGTTAATCTTTCTTGCCAATTTCTATGCTCAGGACCTAGCCCAGCAGAGTGAGCAGAGAGAGGCTGTGATGAGCAAGTTGCCATCTAGCAGCATTGGGTGTCTGGGGTTGGATGTCACTGAGGCTTACTGCAGGTGATGGCTTCAGTGCTTGCTTTACCTGCCTTCACAACATACTTTTAGCCATGCAGAGAGCTAACCTGGGATCTGCCAGGTGCAAACAGAAGAAGAACTAAGATTTAGAGAAATATTTTACCTTCACTCCTCTCCACAGGAAGTGCTATGCTTTACAGGAAGCACAAGGCAGAGGCTCTATCTTTAATTATTTATGATGCTTTTGATTGTTTCCATATCTCACTCTGGGAAATAAGGTGTATCTGTCCCTTTTCTCTTTATTGTCCTGGTGTCCCCTGCCTGCTGGTGTTCCCACCTCCATGGAGCTACAGACTTATGGAGAGATACTTTAATTGTACCTGTCAAGGGCTGAGTTACCTGGCAAAGGTCCTATCAGCCTAAAAAACAGTGCTCCCTTTTCACTCGCTTTTCTTTTCTTCTTCCTCCCCCTCACTCCACAAGGATGTGTGGCTTACTATCTCTTTTCTTCCTTTATCTGGCACATCAACCTTTCCAGTATTGTCTTTGTCTAGCCTTCCTCTGATTCATGTCCACCCCTAACACACAGTTCCTCTTCAATCTGATAAAGCCCAAGTCAAATTCACTCACGCGCTCCTTCTACAGAGCTTTCATTCACCCTTCATGCTTTTCACAAATCTATTATTACTTAGATCTGTTTGTAGGCTTCTTGGTACCCATTCACCATTGGCACACGAGTTTCTAGACCTACATTACAAATTAAACGGTGAAGTAGACAACAAAAAGTATTTCTAAATAGCTTTGGAGAGCACTCGGGGGGGGGGGGCAGGTTTTGGTTTTGAACTGGATTTTGTGGATTATTGACTGTAGCTCATGCAGTACTGAAAATTTTTAACAGTCATGTTTTGCTGCAGTTATTTCATTTTTCCAGACTATCCACTTTTGCCTTATTTAACATGGGATTGCTCCAGCTGTAGTTCCAGGATATTTGTTTCATCCCATTTCTCAAGTCCGTTGCTCCCCACACACTCTTGAACTTTGCAATGCTCCCACACCAAACCCATGCAGCTTGACAACAATTTAAAAAATACATTGATGTTAATGAAAAGGAGGATGTGCACACACAGAATCATTTGGCACAGGGCTTATCTAAGAACTACAGCGGGATTCGTCCTGTGCTGATCAGGCAGACACCATGTATTGCAAGAAGCTTGTTTTCCCGATTCCATGCAGAGGATTGATGTTAAGACACACAATTAAGGCATACTGTCAGCACTATTAATTGCCTGAATTCCTCAAGCTAAGGAAAAAGACAAGCCAGGTCAGCAGAAAGCGTATGTCGAGGATGATTTTGTCTTTCCAGCAGAGGGAGCAGCCCACAGAAGACTAAAACCAGGTAAGCAGGAAACTGAAATGAGAAAAACAAACGAAACATTTCATCTGTTGGCGGAAGCGTGGCAGCACAGGTTTCTGGTGCTGCCTGGTCAGCCAGTGTCTGTCACAAAGGAAGCCGGGCAGCGCTGCTGGTTCCAGCTCTCCCATGCTTCCAAAGCGGGACAGCCAGCTTCTTCTGGGGGAAGGCTGATGGACGTCCCCTACCCTGTCATGGGATCACCCTTCCTCATGTGTTTCAGGCCAGCACACCCCATGAGGTCTCCCCCTGCAGCAAATCTGTTTTCCAGCTTTTCTGCAGCCTGCACACTGCCCTGGGCTTTGCTTGTGTGGGGCAACACGTGGGGCCTCAAGGCATGGGCAACTGAGGCACCATGTGCTCATCCTGCCTATGGCCTGGACTTCCTCATCCTCTCGTGAGCGCATGAAAGTAGATGTTCCCATAGGTAATCTCAACATGTCTGGTGGTGCTGCACCTCCTGAATGCCAGACTGCTGGCCCAGGGGTCTCAGTGTATGGAACACCTCCAGCTACACCTGTTAAGGGCATGGTCCTGCATTTTATTACAGCAATGTCGTGCTACAGTCACTGACACCAGCGCTGAGAGTTTCCTAACAGCCTGGAGGTTGTTTTCCAGAGCCCCTGAAACAGGGCTGCTGTTAGTATCCAGGCGTTAGCATCTATCAGCAGCAGCTCTGGATCCCACAAGACAACAGCCCTGGACCAGGATGTTACATCCCTTTGGTAGCGCAGCAGCAGCCAGGAGTCACTCCGCCTGTCCTCTGCACACAGCTTTCTGTGCCGCCTCCACTCTCCCTCTATCTCCCCCAAGTTCTGCAAGCAGAACCACATGCCTTGCGAAGACAGGGACAATATATAATTAAATGCAGTCAGTGAGGAAGCCAGCCTCCCACACCACAGAGAGAAAGAGCATAGCTTGTCATTACTGCCTGTGGTCACTTCTGATGCAGACATATTTTCTAAAGGAGAACAGGCCCATCACTGAAATAGCAGTTTCTCCACAGTGTTTTCAACCGGCTCCCCCTCTCTCCAATGCTGTAATGTGACCACAGCTCCATCTGGGCTCAGAACTAGGCAGTTCCCACTCCTTAATCATGTTGCCCTGCCCTGCCACTGCCACAAAGCCTCCATGTGTATCAGGATGATCAGCATGTACCGAGGAGGAGTAGTTACAGAGTTCATTTACCACCTCAGAGGTGAAATACCTTGCCAGCCAGAGACTGTAAATCGTAGATCCCATCAGCAGGCTTAGGCAAGGGGGATGAAGAAGGCTTATGCACCCACGTTGGATTGCAGTCCTGGATGTCAAAAGGACCTTTGCAGAAAAGCAGTTCTGGAAACCAAGCTCCAAAATGCTGGTACCTGCCAAGCCTGGCTGCCTGAGCATACTAACATCCCTACAGCAACCCTATTCAGACAGAAAAAGTGCTAGAACTATCATAAATGGTTAAAAACAAAAAAAAAAAAAAAAGGCAAAAAAAAAGAAAACCCACAAAAAAACAACCCACCCACAAATAATACCACATAGGAACATATAACACTGCCACATGGAGACATTAAACACTTTAAGAGCTGCTGAGATACGGAGCTGACCTGGCCTCTGATGGGCTTCAAGGCAAGACAACTCTAGAGAGGAATGCCCTAAAACAGTGTGTTCCTTCTCCAACAGGCTACACGAGTGTAACTTTGCTTTTAGAATAGACCCTGTGACCCAATACATGCATTCTTTTTAAATGTCAAGGGCCACTCTCTTCAGGCTCTTATGGCTCCACAGTGCTTATGCGGCACCAGCATATTTTAAAGTGGATGCAAATGTCCCTATAAATATTAGCAATTTGAGAACTGGGCTTCATGGAAAAGCTGATGCTAGAGAACAGTAATTTTGAAGTCCTTGTGGCATTAAATGAATATGCTATTCATGAAAAGTATCTTGCAGTTGGAAATATCCCGGAGCCTGTGTTAAACTCTTACTTTAGCACTCACTGTTCTGCATTTAATGACATGAAATTCTATCCTTCCATAAAACTAGTTCTAAAAAGCACACTTAATGTGAATGAACACTTAGAATATCCTGGAAACATGTAAGTAAGTTGTGAGATCACTAATGGCACCCAGCACAGGGCACCAGCTATCTAGGCCTGAATAGGCATTAAGCATAAAATCATATCACCTAGTTGTGTCAGGAGTGTCAGATGAATAAGCCAGGCAGCCTGTGCATGCAACAAAGAGTGGAGGAAAAATACCCCTTACTTAAGAGTTGAGCAGATCTGCAGTCTCTCAAGCACAGTGCCTGTAACGTACTTCTGTACTCCAAGATAGCCAGCATCCCAAACTAAAGCTTGAATGGGACAAAGTCATCTATCTTTCCCTCTAATGTCTGGTGGATGAGAAAGGGCTCCCTGGGTGAAGCAAAATGTGGCATTTCCTTTAGTGAGTTTGTTGCTTAAACTGGTCATAGGCTGATACTGCGGGGTTTTCATTAAGGTTGTCTGGAATTCCCATCTTCTGGAAATATTTCAGGGTTTGGAGAAAAAGACTTGTCCCACTTCTGAATAAAATCTGAAAGAAACTGGACACCTTCTGCAGAAAATCTGGGGGGAAAAAATGATAAAAAAGCCAACTGTTGGAACACCCCATGTTATATTTTACATCTGGCTTCTGGAGTCTTTTGGCCTGACCAAAAACCAAATTCTCTGGTGAAACTGGAATTGTCTAGCAGCGAATCTTTCTAGCAGACAATTCCACTCCTTTCCCTGTTACTCATTGGAACTTCTTTTTCTTGCATTGAAACGTAAAAAAGAGTTATTGCACAACTGACCTAAGAATGAAAAACTCTTGAGCCATGAGTACACAGGCATTGAGTAAATGTCACCTGAATCAATAGAGAGTGTAACAGATGCAGGCTTTAACATTGTTCTTGCAAATTAATCATTAATTTATTTTTTAAACTGATCATCATAAATCTTCCTAGAACAGACTGTTATTCTGCCTGTTACGATTTATTCAGCCAGTGCAGAATGAGAACACTACAATTTAAGTTAGCAATTTTGAGGCTGCCAAATATCCCCCAAGTATTTCCTGCAGCTGGGACTGCAAACATCTTCCTTGGAGCTGGCAGCCTGCTTGCGCCATATCCTGTTCCAGTCACACACAAGCACCCGGAGCCGGTTGGGGTGGGTCGCTTCCCTTAGTCCCCTGGGCAGCAGCAATACCAGAGGCCTGCTCCCAAGTTGCAAAGCTGCATGTGGCACCAGCACTGCAGAGAGGCACAGCTACTGGCCTCAGGAGTGGGGACTGGAGAACACTTCCCCAGGGGTGGGTTCTCACCCCTCCCAGCCTCTCGCTCAGCTCAGCTCACTGCGGTGCAGTGGTCGCCGATGCCTTTGGATAAACTGGGACTTTTCCCCTTTCTCTTGGAAATTCCCACATTGCAAAGCCAAAGGATACAACAGGCAGAGTGGCAGCTGCGGGAGGCAGGTTACCAAAACCAGGCTTTTTCAGTGTTAGCTTCTTTTTGGTGTAATTTCCTGAGTGAGTTATTGAAACAACAATGGCATAATGGGCACAGTGCAGCAACAGGGCAGACAGGACCACTTAGGAGCAAACCAGCCAACAATGTGTTTGTGTAGAAGAAAGGAAAAAGAGCTTGTGGTAAGGGGAATTCACTGACTGCCTGAGTAAAAGCACACAGCCTCCTGCAGCCACTTGGAAACAGGTGAAGATGCCAAAAGGTGGGGGGAGGGGGAAAGTAACCCAAACCAAGTAAACCCCAAACCATCACTCCAAATTGCAGCAATTACTTGACCATTTTCACTTCCTAAATTGGGAGAGAAAAATTCCCCTGGGTCATCTGACCTCTGTTGAAACTACACCAGGAAGAGGAGCAGCAGCAGCTCGTGAGCGCAGGGCGTTCTCCAGCTGTACAAAAGCCTCTTGTCTGGGAACCGGGAATCAGAGCAGCGCAGGGATGTGCGTGTGCGAGTGTGCATAGCAAGGTGAGGTGCGGATATCCTCCCAGCCAGATCATCTCTTGCACAACTCTCTGATCCTGTGCAGCCCAGCTTTTGTTCTTCCCTTTGCTGCTCCTCCTTAAGCATACCTCCAGAGCAGAGCTTCTGAAGTGCCATTTCCTCCTGCACATCTCCCTGAAAACTAGCTCTCCCCAAGAAGAGGAGGTCACCAGCAGCATGGTGGGGGTGACCACGATGAGGACGTGGATTGAGCCTGTGGTCGCAGGTTCCCAAGTGGCCAGTGCCTTCTACGACACGGCGCTGCTGCTGGTGGTGAAGAACTACTACAACCAGACCAATGCCACCGCTCCTTCCCACGCGCTGGAAGATGCTCAGCAAAAGGCTGTCTCTAACTTTTATATCATCTACAACCTTGTCCTGGGCCTGAGCCCACTGCTGTCAGCGTATGGCTTGTCCAAGCTGGGGGACAGAATACATCGGAAGATCCCCATCTGCCTCCCTCTTCTTGGCTACTTGGGTTCCAAAACTCTCCTGCTCCTCCTGATCCTGCTGGGCTGGCCGATCGAGGTGATGTACGGGGCTGCTGCCTTCAATGGGCTGACGGGCGGTTTCACCACACTCTGGGCAGGTGTCATGGCTCTGGGATCCCTGGGCTCCTCCGAGACCAAAAGGTCCCTTCGGCTCATCATTATTGAGCTGGTGTATGGCCTCTCTGGCTTTCTGGGAAGCATGGCATCTGGCTACCTCTTTGTTGGCTTCAGTGACCGCTATCAAGAGGGCACTGTGCTGGTGAGCTGCAGCATCGCTTGTTATGCTTTCTGCCTCCTCTACAGCACTTTTGTCCTGACAGTCCCCCAGCCAGCGGATTCCTGCCCAGCCAAACCCAAGAGTGCAGAGGAGGTGGGCAGCCAGCTACCAGCCCACGCAAAGAGCAGCAACTCCACTCCAGTATCCCCCTCGAAACTCATCCTCACCATGCTGTTTACGGCAGCAATCCTCTATGACCTTGCTGTGGTTGGTGCAATGAATGTACTCCCACTCTTCTTGCTCAGGGAGCCTTTAAGTTGGAATGCCGTGCAAATTGGACATGGCAATGCTGCTGGGTATGTGATCTTCATCACCAGCTTCCTAGGTGTATTTGTGTTCTCCAAATACCTGAAGGATATAACCATGATCATGATCGGAGTGGTATCCTTCAGTGCTGGCATCCTCATCATGGCCTTCGTTAGGTGGACATTCCTTTTCTACATTGGTGAGTCAAACAACCACTCACACAAGCAAGTGCTTCCTGAGAAAGGGGTTGGGGTGTTTCAGCATCAGAAGAAGGGCTTTTGGTCTGCTTCACTTTGAGTTTCAGAGCAGGGAGCTAGGCAGATTGTCACAGGAAGAGTACCCAAGAGGGCTTCATTATCAGTCCCCTATCCCCACTCTTTGTACTCTGACACCCAACACCCTACAATATCCAGAAGAGGCATACACTCCTGCCAAGGTTAGTTTAAGGTTGGTTGACGTGTAATTTGTCACTTGATCATAGCCCAGATCAGAGCAGGAGAACAATGCTCACACCACAGGGGAGTGAGAATAGTTGCTGGCTATTGGTGCTAGTCAGACCACACCACCGCATTAATCATAGAATGGTTTGGGTTGGAAAGGACTTTAAGATCATCTCATTCCAACCCCCCTGCCATAGGCAGGGACGTCCCACACTAGGTCGTGTCACCCAAGCACTTGCTTCTTGTGAGATAAAGCTTATGGCTACAACAACAACAAAAAACAAAACAAAACAAAACAAAAAAGGCAAAGGTTTCCTATTAAACAAACATCCTAAGTTATGATTTATTTTTGTTACATTAAGGCATTTATGCCTGATGGGAAACTTAATGGTGAAATATTGGAGCTACTCTAGCAACTAGATACCACAATAATGTAGTGTACAAATCTCAAACTGTGTATAAACATACGGGACAGCATCCCACAACAAACGAAAAGCAAGTTTATATTTAGTAGGTAGCATCTGCAGGGATGCAGAAAGCAAAATCCAAGAACTGCATCCATTGTGGCAAAAAGATGGATAATTCATATTTAAAAGAGCATTGTGTGCTGTATGGCTTTGAGGTTTTTCTTCTAGAAAGAGAAAAAGGTCTAAGATAAATGGCCTGAAGTGCTTTATCTGTCTGCCCCTACAGGGAATAAGAAATTGAGAATCAAAGTTATTCTAAAGGGAAAGATTATATTTGTGTACTAAGCCAAACATCGAGCTAAATTTTTTAAGAGATTTTGTCCATTTCAGCAATCAGGCTGGGGAAGAAACGATTACAAAAGAAAATTAAAAGAATTAAAAATAGGGGGTTTTAATATTTAATGTCCGTCATGAACACATGCTGCTACACAGTGTGCAGAACGCTTGTTCCCTGCGTTGCAGAAACACCTTGGTACACTAGACATGGACCAACTCTTCACTGAGGCTGGTTCTCCCGACAGGAAGGTAATTCCAGCTCCCTAGAAGTTCCCACACTAGCAAAAGCCTAAAATACTGCAAGCCAGAAGCACCAAATTAGAAAACAGATGTAGTGTGACAAGGGTACTGTTCACATCAAAGCCATGTATCATGGGATGCTCTCTCTGCTGGATAGACTCAAATCGTCAGTGTCTCTGTGTCAAAGGACAGTGCTACATTCCATCTACACTGGGATTTCAGGCTTAGACCAAGAGAGTACCAAAGTACCTCTGCTGGTGGGAGCAATAGGTGGCTTACCCAGCATCGCTTGGATGGAGTGAGGACCTACACTCCTACCAAGGATCTGTACTTCTTTCTGGTACTCAAGGAACAAGAAAAAGTGCAGCAAAGGCTCTGCCCAAGCCCATAGTCTTCAAAAGCAGTGGTGGTTGTGTTGGGAGACAAGAAGCAGGTAGTGATGATAACCACATGCTCATTGCATTGCAGCACGGGCAGTGATGCTCTTCGCCCTCATCCCTTTACCAACCATCAGATCCATGTTATCCAAGCATGTTGAAGGATCATCTTATGGTAAGTATTTTGGTTGTCTTACCAGTCAAAAAAACCTCAATCCCTCCATTCAGCCTAAGGTACAAAGGGAGATGTAAGTTATTGTTGCAATCTGTGTTCTGCATAATAAAACTGGAACAGTTGGTATCACAAATGGGAAGGGAGGAGCAGAGAAACTTGCAGGGCAAGATTGTCACATCCGAACTTCTTGTCCTTAGTTACATCATTTACCCACACAATTTTCACACATGCTTCTAAAGATGATTATCAGTATGCAGCTCAAAGGCAGGGAAAACACCAGAGGTACTGCTCAAAAACACAGTACTCCAGGGAAAACCAAGAGAAGCAGGGCATTGTGTTGCAGCACTGTGATACTTACACCATTTATATTTGACTTCTTTTACTTCCAGCTTTGGAAAGGGTGGATTTCTTTCATCTTCTTTTTTCAGTTATGCTCTCTAAACACATCTTCCAAGTGTTTCCTGGCAATTTATCCCTGTCAGACTATGATTTAACTAACGAAGTATAATTTTGCATAAAAATCAGCCCTTCTTGGTAAACAGGAACAGAAATTATTTTATATTAAAAATGCATTAGAAAACAGTAAAATACATGTATTTTACAACGCTGTATTGAAGGCTACCATTTTTACCCCAATGAGCTGAATTTAGGCACAACAGACAGGACTAGCCATGCATTCAGGTAAGACCTCAGAACCTTGGCTGTTCAAGTCTCCTCCAAACATGTTCCTACAGCAATCCTTTTCCCTTGTACCATATGAACACAATACTGCTCTGCCACTAAGTTAATTCCTCACCACGCTCCATAGCAAACTCGCCTACCCACCACACAGGTAGCAGCTCACACCCCAAATTAATCATAGTTATTAATCCCGATGTTGTTTTTAAACTCCACCTTGAGCCATGCAGGCTACACCCTATTACAGTGTCAGATCGGCTCTGGAGCTGGGCCATGCAGCAGAGCAGCCTCTTGTAGCAGTTATGTCCCCTTCAGTGGCGGCTGCTGCTGCTGTGCAGCTGGAGAAGGGTGCCAGCACAGCAAGCCCTCTGTATAGCACTGACCTTGCTCCCAGCTTGCACATCCCAGCAGGATGGGTTACTTCACCTCCCCTCTTTTACCACTACAGAAACAGAAGGGTGCACTTCAGCACAGAAGCTGTTTTAACTAGAATTCATTTTTCTCTATCTAAATCACACACACCTCCCCATTTCAGGCAATATTGCAACCCAGTGGACCACTATTCTGACTGAATGCAGAAGCAGACCCTGACTGAAATTTCTCCTATCTCTCCTGTCCTGAAGATCCTAGCCCAGAACTGCTTTTCCACTTTATAGGGAAAGGAGCATTTAACCGCCCAGCTTATCTTCCAAGCAGTTATCTCTACACCTAGACTGTTAAGCAGACAGTTTGCTGGTTGAATCTCATCTTTCAGCCTAAAAGAAAGGAAAGGCACTAAATTCTGATCTCAAACAGAAGCAGATACAAGCTCCTGCCATCTGGTGCCTGTGAAGCAATGACCACATGGCTCTCCCACACAGTGGTGATCCGGAATTCATCAAGATGTACCAGAGTTAGTTTTTTATCCCTGTAACAAACTATGTTCTTGGTTTACAGGTAAAGTGTTTGTCCTGCTGCAGTTATCTTTAGTCACCACAGGAGTAGTGACATCTACAGTCTACAACAAGATCTATCAAAACACACTGAACTGGTACAGCGGCTTCTGTTTCATCTTGTCTTTTCTAGTTGGCTGCCTGACTCTTTTCCCTTTGAGGTAAGGAACAGGAAGGGTTTTGTCCAAAAGGACATGTTGTATTTTCTCAATGTTATCTGATTCTGTGTCTCAAGTATATAACACAGGTGGGATTTTTTATTTTTTTTTTAAGTAAACTTAAAAGGAAAGAGAAAATTGGAAGAAATAAAAATTTTGCAGAAATAAGTTGACAAATACCAAGGAGATTCAAAAATTGAAACTTGCAAGTGATTTAGCCAATGCTGTTAGTCTTCTCTTTGTTTAATGTAACATGAATTGCTGTAGGAAGAATATTTAGCAGAGTTTAAGAGCTGATAATCCCAGGGGACAAAGCCTTCACATGAATGTAATGCTTGGTATTACAAAAATAGTAATAAGTAGAATGAGGGAATAATCCTACACAAAGTGAAACATTCTTTCAAAAATCCATTACAGTTTACTTACTCACTGTGGTCAAAAGGAATAATCTGAGACTCCCTCAGGTGTTTCTTTCAAAGAGAAACCATTACATGGTGAAGGAGGTGGTCATTTCACTCACTGATCTGGTGAATTTGCTCAAACGTGCAGCTACAGAGCAACTGATAGGTGAACTTCAGGAACAAGTATAAGTCTAAAGGCATGGTTAATGCATGATTTTATATATACATACACACATATATATTATATATATAAAATACATGATTTTCTATATATATATGGCATGATTTTATATATATATACACACACATAGATATATATATGGTTAATGCATACTGACTTCAGTATTATCACTTAGGAAGAAAAAGCAATGCTACAAGGAAAGGTCCTACACCATCAGTTCTGTATCGTCTTGGCTTTCTGGTCTGGTGAGCACACTGGACACCTGGTGTTAGCAGGACTGGTGGTGTGGGGAAGGCTACTTCACATTCATTTCCCTGGCTCTGCTTTCCTCCTCATACTTTCCAGACGCAAAAGTGACTTGCTCACTGGTCAGCCTTACCTCTATCCCTGGAAAGGTGATGGAACAACTTAATCTTGACAACATCTCTAGACACATCAAAGATGAGGGGGTCATTAAGGGCAGCCAACATGGTTTTACCAGGGGGAAGTCATGTTTGACCAACCTTATAGCCTTCTATGAGAAAGTAACTAGGTGGGTGGATGATGGTAGAGCAGTAGATGTGGTTTTTCTTGATTTCAGTAAGGCGTTTGATACTGTCTCCCACAGCATTCTCATAGATAAGCTAAGGAAGTGTGGGCTTGATGATCAGGTAGTGAAGTGGATCAAGAAGTGGTTGAAGGGAAGAAGACAGAGGGTTGTGGTCAATGGTGCAGAATCTAGGTGGAGGTCTGTAACTAGTGGAGTCCCTCAGGGGTCAGTGCTGGGACCAGTGCTGTTTAATATTTTCATCAACGGCCTGGATGAGGGAACTGAGTGTACCCTCAGCAAGTTTGCTGATGATGCTAAACTGGGAGGAGTGGCTGACACACCAGAAGGCTGTGTTGCCATTCAGTGAGACCTGGACAGGCTGGAGAGTTGGGCGGGGAGAAATTTGATGAAATTCAACAAGGGCAAGTGTAGAGTCTTGCATCTGGGGAAGAACAACCCCAGGTTCCAGTATAGGTTGGGGGTTGACCTGCTGGAAAGTAGTGAAGGGGAAAGCGACCTGGAGGTCCTGGTGGATAGGAGGATGAACATGAGCCAGCAATGTACCCTTGTGGCCAAGAAGGCAAATGGCATCCTGGGGTGCATTAGAAAGGGTGTGGTTAGTAGGTCAAGAGAGGTTCTCCTCTCCCTCTACTCTGCCTCGGTGAGGCCGCATCTGGAATACTGTGTCCAGTTCTGGGCCCCTCAGTTCAAGGACAGGGAATTGCAGAGCCACAAAGATGATCAAGGGAGTGGAACATCTCCCTTATGAAGAGAGGCTGAGGGAGCTGGCTCTCTTTAGCTTGGAGGAGACTGAGGGGTGACCTCATCAATGTGTACAAATATGTAAAGAGTCAGTGTCAGGATGATGGAGCTAGGTTTTTTTCAATGATGTCCAGTGATAGGACAAGGCGCAGTGGGTGTAAACTGGAGCTTAAGATGTGAATCCTATGTGAATATCAGGAAACTTCTTTACCACAACCCTGCTGTTCTAACAGCAAGTCACTGCTAGCTACTCAACTGCTTTTTAATGCAGGCTCCAAATAGAAGTTAGCACCATTATCAGCACAAACATGTGTTACTAGGACTTGAAGTCCAAATCATTACAAATGTTGCCAATATCATTACTTGTACACAAGGCTGGCAGATCTTGAGAGAAATCACATGAGCACTCAGCCAGCTACAGACACCACAGTGAATTTTAAACTAAGAATTGGGGGGGGGGATATCAAACAGTTTCATAAAGTAGTTTTCTAGCTCTTTTGTAACCTGCATTTTTATTGCTCTTTAAAGCATCGTGGCCATCAAACAACGTTCAACCACTGGCTCCCTTCAGATCCTGACTGACTGACAGAGGCTGTACCAGCTAAAGCCTCTTTTGGTGTTAATCAACTCTTCAACTTACCAAAATGGAAGACTTGACAAACATTAATCACCACAGTTATCATGACGGGAAGCATCTCAGTTTGTGTTTCCATTTCACAGCATGCCACAGGCTTTCAGCCACTGAGCTCACCCAGGACAAATAAGTTTGTCTTGTTATTTCTGCAGTACATCATCTTACAGAGTACGTGCACTTGCTATTGAACACCAGCAGTCTTCACAGCATTTCACTTTTCTGCTAGGCTGGTTAGCAGTTATGCAGAGGGACAACAAGGTAGAAATGAAAATGGCATTTCGAGACACATCATTCAGTGTGGAAGGGGAAAGCAGAGGATCAATTTTTCATTAGTTTCTTCCCATCTCTTCGCTAGGAAACCTCAGGGGTCTGTGCCTTCAGCTGATGAAGCAGGGGCCCACAAGCCATATGTGCACAGTTGTCAGCAGGGGACACTTGATCTCCAACTGCTACAGAAGATGTGTCAGCCTGGACAATCAATGTTATACACTGTATTACTGAACACAGAAACACCACTGTAAAAAAAAAAAACCAAAACATTAAATGTAAGATTAGGACACTTTCAGTAATTATTTACAAGAAAACACTCCTGAACAGATGTTCACACCCCTGTTTTCTGGGAGATTGCCACACTGTCCCTGAGCAGTGCTTTAACACAGTTCATGGGAGGACACCTATGACTCAAAAGCCGATACCAGCATTTCAACTCACACCACCAGAGCATACTACTCTTGTAACAGGTTAAGAACAGCTAAGTGCAGCACACTACTCCTATGGGCTTTACAGAGGTGTAGGGACACTGATGCCAGATAATATTCAGTGTTAATTACCTGTGTTAGAAATAAAAATATACCTATAGGAACCTCATACAATACAGCAATTGGTGTAAGATGTTGGCTGCTAAATCCAAACATGATTCAAAAGACTGGCATGCTCCCGAAGGATCAGGGCTTAAATTATATGTCTACTCACATATTAATTGAATTAACAAGGAGTAAGTGGCTTCCAAGCTCCTGGACTAAGTAAAAGCAAATTAAAAACCCTTCAGTAACTGAAATAATCTGACAGCTAATCAGACAGTTCAAGCCAGGGATGCAGCAAGCAGAAGTCAATTACTCGCTATGCATCCCCTTATTCTGAGGAAGTCGCTGCCAGTCCTGTCTGTCTGTCTGTCCGTCCATCCGTGTTGTCGTCGTTCCCCCCCCCCTTGCAACCTCTCCCTTATCTCCAGCGGTCACTTTCAAGTAATACCAGATGTAGTTCAGGATCAGCAGTATAACTAGATTTTAAGGGAAGGGTACTTCTGCAGTAAGATAGCCCAGCAAAATAAGTACACACATCACTTCACTGGTGAAGGCTGCAAAAACGAAGTTTTATTCTAGGTAAAGGAGTCATCTTTTAATACATTTACTGGTCCATTCCATTAAGTTAATTGAGGTAAACAAAACAGAGCTTTTTAAAAAAATGTACACACTAATAGAGAATTACAAACAGTTTTACCTCAAAGTGTTTTTCTCCATCAATACTAGTTCCATAGTAAACAATGCACAAAGTATATTTATACAGAGATATGAAAGGGTATAGAAACATGCCAGCACCAGAAGGCAAGACAACATTTCCTAGCCTGCGAGTCTGAACAAGAGCACAGTTGCCAGATTTGGTCGAGCGCAGGAAACAAAAGCTTCCTTCCCATTTTTACACTGTTTATTAAGCTAATCCACACAGAGACAAGTCTTTTCACAGCTTCCATTTTGGTTTTCAATGGTATGAATGGTGACACTCTAATTCCAGTGAGTGGGTTTACACAGGCTGAAAGAGTCTGGGCCACGAGCCAGCACTGGTCATTGCGAACCCCAGTACCGACACCTTCAACAAGGAGGGGATGAGGTCCACCTCCTCCACTCACAGCCATCTTACCTTCACCCACATGGTCCAACTCTCCTAACCTTAAGGAGGAACAGAGGGATGCAGGCACAGAGGAAAAAAACATGGACGATGCTTTATTTTCATGTACTAAAGACAAAAGCCCTTTGGCTGTTTGCTATTGTAAGACTGTCCCTCTGCAACCTATCTCCCTGTGCAATGGGAATGTGGCACTGACTTCAACCCTGCTGCTCGATCTGAAGGAATAGATTTTTATCCCAGCAGCAGAATTTAAGGAAATGGTTTAGCTTCAAAGCATAGAGTACCAAGGCCTGCAAAGTAGTCCAGGAGAGTGACTAGCCTTTAATATTTTAGCATGCCACTTAGGTAGGGTGATCTACTTATGCCTTTTTGGAAAGTGAATTATTTTCTGCATAAGTACTGTGCCTTAGCCCTGCAACCTTAAAATTAGCCCATTTCACTTGTAGAAGTCAGATACTCCAGCAAGACTACGAAATGCTAAGCAGTTTTAAATTTTGCTTTATTTCATACACTTGGCTAAAGAGCACTCCCAAAAAATGCTGCCTGTTAAAATGCAACATTCACACTGCCAGAAGGCAAATTTATTCCTGTGATCCCCAGTTTTATGTTATATAAAAAAATAAATAAAATTTTGGTAAGTAGTAGCAACTCCCCTATCTTAAAAAAAAAAAAAAGACCCCATTTTCCCTATTTATTGGTTGTTGTAGTGGAAGTTAGTATGCCAAGGGAAAGACTGGTCTACCTTCAGAATTTAAGAAGGATGAATGAGCTAATTTAATGTATGCAGTTTTGTTCAGTGGTTTTCAGCACCAGGTTTTTAAACAGAGTGCAACATTAATCATGAACAGGAAAATGGTGCAAGTTTTAACAAAACACAGCTCCTGTTAAAACACTGAGCACTCCCTGGTAGACTGGGAGGGAATTCTTTCGTACCTTGCTATCTGCAGGACCAACACCTGAAGAAATATGCATCCCAAACTGGCTACACAGAGCCACTGCTGGAAGACTACCTCAAAGAACCTCCACAGAACAGCCTCTGTCACACAAGCTTTGCAGATGCTTCTTCCCTACCACGTATTCCACTACTCTATCCTTAGCAGAAGTGCCAGGGTGACAAAAATCCAAGTAGACTTCAGTGAAGAATCCATAGTTTATTCTCTGCTACAGGTTACATTGGAAGAGTTTGTGTGTTTAGTGCTACACCTATTACCTTTTCATTTTTCAAAGGATACCTGAAAAAGCTGTGGTGTTTCAACACCTGTGTTTATTGCAAGAGTCAGAGCCTGATAAGGATACATATGAACAATGCACAGTTCATTACCAGCATGAAAACAAGATCTCAGTGCCTGCTTCACTGTGCTGGTGACAGTCAAGAAACAAACGTCCTAGAAATTACACAGAAGTAACCACAACAGGAGTGAATTAAGCATCCTCTGAGAGGGAACTTGGTCCAACTATGGATTACGAGTGAAACTGGGCTAATTTAAGGACTGCTGAATGACCCACATTACATAGACTCAGAGGAAAGGTCCAACTACTTTTGACATAATTTTAGTGCATATGTGCATGGTGACCTTCAGTGACTGCACACTTAAGAACTTATTCAAAGATGAAGCTCCTTCACTACACTCCCGCTTCCCTTTACCAACAACTCTTACTTTTCACATGAAAGTTTGGACCATCTAAAGGAGAGACACCTATCCTGTAAGGATTACAGGATAATTTGACTGAGTTTTGCTAACACTTCTGATCTCAGCTTCCTACTAATAGCAGGTTAAATGCACTCTTTACAAGTGTCACTCTTTACATCTTACAGGAATTTCCTGATGTTTTGTAGTTCTCCCATCTGGCACTGCTGCCCCAAAACTCAGTCAGGATCCTCCCTACACAGCCTCTCACAGTTACCTAGTGATCTACAACAGCTCTTTGTAAGAGTATCCTCTATAGCACATACAAGCCAAGACACCCACCACTACACTAAAGAAATTCTTGCAAAGGACTCCTCTCTCAAATACTGAGTTTTACTTTAATTGTATGGGCTTAAGAAGCTTTGGTGTTACACATCATGGAAGAAATCCACATCAACCTGCAGGTACCACAGAGCTACATAATGCAACAGAGAAGTGCAAAGCGTGCCTGCCTTTCAACAGCTCAGCCAGAACAGGATTTATCTGAAATTAAAACATGCTTTGGAAGAGGACTAGTTTCAAAACCATACTGCAGGATCAGTGGCATTGGATTACAAAAAATTTAAGACAGTCTTCAACAGCTCCAGCCTCAGAAGTTACACATCAATTTGATGCTTCACTTGGTGCTTCCCACTGTCCATTATGCTTCTCATGAATAGCTATGATGTCACATATCACCACCACTCTTTCTACTCATCTTTCACTTTTTTTAAAGGTGAAGGGAAGACTTGCCTAAATATTAGTTCAAATTACATTTTGCTTCATTCCCAGTGATGTTTCAGAATCAACTACAAAATTACATTTACTACAAAGGAACCAGCTCAAAAAGGCATGTTGATCTCTGTGGGAAATAGGGAAGACTGTAACCCTGAAGGTCAGACTGTTAAACAGTACAGAAGTGCTTATTTTACAATAGGAAGATTGAGGAAAACACCTGGTTTTACTGCTTAAAGATGGTCCTCTTAAGCACTTCCTTGCACAAGAGTAGTAGTTTGTCATTCTGGACCTAACAACAACTTAAAGGAGAGTTCTCATTTACAGCAAGTAAGTATATATTGACAAACTGCGAGCTTAAACCAGCAAGCATAGTTTAGTACCACACAGCTGTCAATGAAGGCCAAGTCAAAAAGGAAGACCTCTTAAAACGTCTTAAACTTCACTTCTGCACCAACAGCATCTCATTAGCCTGAGAGAGTTACCACATTGCTGCAATACCTCACCTTGAGAGTTGCTATAAATCCACCAAGCTGAGCAGGGGAACTTCAGTTTCACTTGGTGTTTATGAAGGGATAAAGTCCAAACAGACCAGTACCTGGTAGGCTGTCAGAAGAGAACACAGCAGTTGTACGTACTCAACTACCACTATACTCTTCACAAGACTGTTACCAGAGATCAACTTATCACTTGAGGCTAGTACTAAGCACTCAAGAATTATTTATTCCCCCAAAATCCAAGTATTACACTGATATTAGCCCCAAGCTGCCTCACTTAGGATGGTTAAAAAGGATTTATCTGCATGCTGTTAAACCAAGACTTTGAGACCCTGGGAATCATGGCAGCATTCCAAAGGTCATTAACAAAAAGCAGGCATTTACTTGAGGTTGGAATGCAAGAGGAAAAAAAAAAGGGACATGCAGAAGCAGTTACATTTCTAACTACTAAGAAAATAGATCTGTACCAAAAGTAGTTTTAAAAGACTTGCCATGTGGTTCAGTAAGACAGATATGAACATTACGTGTATCTAATAGGGTACCTATCTATGTCCACCAACCTGTTTAAGGCAAGTTTCACACACAGTGATGCGTGGAGGAAGCAAGCATTTGACACTTTTTGGCTTCTGGGAGAAAAAACAACAAAAAAAAAACCAACAAAAACCAAAGCAACCACCAA